TTTTTTTTTTTTTTTTTTTTGTTATTATAAATTGTTTTATTATTATATATGATTTTAAAGAACAATAAATAAAACAAAACAAGACATAAAGCAACTAGTTATTAGATAACTAACAAGCAATTTAAATTTAAATAGATTAGGCGATTCCACGCAATAATAAATTAATTGTACTATATTTCAATGATTTAAGCCCAAAGATCGCACGACTTTCGGCGCTTTAGACGGCGTATTGGCTCAGTTGTCGCTAGTAAATGCGCCTCAGCATTTATGTGACAACTAAGTCTATCTTGGTGTGATTTGGCTTTGGTGTGAATTTCTTCCTGTACTGTTGTCACTCCAAGGTCACGATGTAAGTCAGAATTTCTCACGTACCATGGCGCGTTTGTTACACTCCGTAGCATGAAATTTTGGAATCTTTGGATGATGGAAATTTGTGTTCTGCTTGCGCAACCCCATAGCTGTATTCCATATGTCCAGATTGGCTGGAGCATTTGTTTGTTTAATACAAGTTTATTGAAAGGCGATAGTTTTGATTTTTTGCCGATTAACCATTTCAACGATTTGAATTTAAGATCTAATTCACTTCTTTTCTTTTTTATGTGCTCGCTCCATCTTAGTTTAGCGTCCAAAGTCATACCCAAGTATTTCGCAGTATTCGTGTGAGGCTTTATTCGCGTATAACTGATGTTTCGATTTGTGAAATTTACATGCACTGATTTTTCTTTATTCAGATTAATTTTCCATTTTTTTGTCCAAGCAATTATACTGTCCATACTATTTTGCAAATTATTAGCTGCTATTACTGCGCTTTCTCCAACTGCAAGGACTGCAGTATCATCAGCAAAAGTTGCTGTGAACGTTGTTGCACTCGTTGGCAAGTCGTGTGTATAAATCAGATATAAGAGGACCCAAGACACTACCTTGCGGAACTCCAGCGTTAATTTTATGCAGTTTACTATAGGTATCACCGTGCTTTACTCGAAAGTAACGATCAGATAAGTAAGAGGAGATTATGTCATAATACTCCGTTGGGGGAATATTTTTTACTTTGGTAAGCAATCCGGAGTGCCAGACTTTATCGAAAGCCTGCGACACATCTAAAAACACAGCTGAGCAGATTTTTTTTTCCTCAAGAGCTTTTTCTACTACATTGGTAATCCTATGGACTTGATCTATGGTGGAGTGATTGCACCTAAAACCAAACTGATGTAAAGGTATTATGTTTTGACTTTCAATCAGAGGAAGGATTCTTTTCAGTAAGACTTTTTCAAATATTTTTGAAAGTACAGGCAGAAGTGCTATTGGTCTGTAACCACTTACGTCATTAATATCCTTTCCTGGCTTATGTACCATGATAATTTCAGATACTTTCCACAGGGATGGAAGGGTTCGCATCTGTATTATAGCGTTAAATATATTCGTAATTTTAACTAGGCATTTTGCAGGAATTTCTTTTAAAATTTCAGCACTTATCAATTCATAACCTGGGGTTTTTTTTAGCTTAAGTTCATTTTTAATAATCATCATTACCTCAAGCTCGGTGGTTGGTGGAATACATGATGAATGTGCTGTCCTAGGAGGGCAGATTACTGCATTGTTAACGTTTTCGTCTATGGAAAACACTTTTGACAGGTGTTTGGAAAAGACCTCCACTTTTTCCTCATCGCTTTTAGCCCATTGATTAGCGTGATTTTTAATTGGAGCTTTGTGTACTAAAGGTCGCTTAAGGTTTCGTGTGCATTTCCAGAGAGAATAGTTGGTAGCACGATCATTACTTAAGTTAGATAGGTAGTAGTTGAATTGATTATTTTTAAATTGCTTGATTTTTAGGCTGAGTTCTTTTGCAAGTCTGTTAAGAATGGCTTTGTCTGCTGGAAATCTGGATTGCTGCCACTTTTTCCGCATCTTTCTTTTTTCCCGCATAAGATCCACAATGACTTTTGGGTATTTATGAGGATAGGTTGCATTCCTTAATGTGGGCGTGCTGCACCATGCCGCATGTTGTAGTAAATTTGTAAGGTTCAAAATTTCGCTTTCAAGATCATTTTCTTCACAAATTTCTTTTGAAGCAATGGTGTTTTCATTAAGGATTCTTCTGAAGTAACTCCAATCTGTATATTTATTTTCAAGTTTTAGACATTTTTTATTTATTAAGGCAGATTCGAAGAGGGTTATGTAGAGAGGGGAATGGTCGGAGCTTAGTTCTACTCCATCTGTTATTTTTAAATTGTAGGACGAAATTTGCTTGGTTATAAAGAAATCGAGTAGATCAGGCACCTTTGTTAGGTCAGTTGGCCAATAGGTTGGGTTCCCGGATGACAAGCATTCGCAGCCAGTTTGCTGTATAGCTTTGAGGAGTTCTCTACCTTTCGTTGTAATTAAGCGAGAGCCCCAATGCGTATGTTTAGCGTTGAAATCGCCACCCATAATGAAGCGATGCTTATGAGTTTCTATAAGATCTTTGTATTGTTCGGATTTAATTGAATGTCTTGGAGGACTGTATACCGATGTTAGTAGTAATTTGCTTTGTAAGAAAGTGATATTAATAAAACAAAAGACTATAACATAATCTATTGTGTAATTTATAGAGAACAACTTCTATACAGAACCTAAAACTACTTTTGGTTTAAATTCTCAGACGATATTAGATTCCATGAGAACAAAATGGAAATACAAGGCACAAATATGTAAGGATATTCTATTTTTGCGTAAAGATAGAATCTACAGGTGATTGTTAGTCTTATTTTTTAAAAATGGTAGTTAATAGCAGTATGTCTAGTAATGTTAAGAAGATAGTATTTAGGCAACACATATTTTTTTTAAGTTTAATAAGCATATATAAAATATACAAATTTATAATAAATTATAAGAAAAGCGTAAACTATACGTTGACGATCTATTTTTCGATTTTACGATTTTAAAATTTTACTTCAACTTTCACACACATCTTCACAGCGTGCGCAGACAACCTTACTCTTCAAAAATTTTGCGTAAATGACGCTTCTTGAATGTCATTCATGTTCAAGTTCGGTCGGTAGAAGAAATTTGAGCAGGAGAGAGTGCAACTTGTATGACACACAAAAATGATAGTCTGCACCGCGCTTTACAATATGATATAAAGCAATATCGTAACTGCGGAATTTGTTCGTCCGTCGGCATCGAAAAACTATACGTCTGAGTTTTAATTTCATTATTTTCGCAACTGTTGAATTGTTCTATTCTAATATTTTAATACTCTATATTCAAATTCCAAATTTAATATGGCTTATAATTCAAGGTCTTATAAGCATGTAGTAGAGTGCTCTGTAGTGAATTGTATCGGTAAAAATAATAGTCAAATAAAGTTATTTCGCTTTCCCATTGGGAGCCCCACTTTACTTAAAGCGTGGTGCTACAATACAAAACTAAAATGTGACTCTATCAACAGCAACAGTCGATTGTGTAGCCGGCACTTTGACATTTCTTATATTGGATCTAAAAGACTGAAGTCTGGCGTCATACCTACACTTTTACTAGGTAAGTTAAATAACATCCAAGAAAATGTGGAGAGCTGTTTTTGGAGATGCAAGTTGTTTTATATTATAAATGCATTCAATACATATATTATTTCCGAAAAGAAAATATGCATACATATGTAGCTTTGAATGTATTTTTAACAACTTCTAAATAAACAATCTTTTAATAAAAGAAAATTTATTTTGTAATCTAATAAATTAAACCTTATTCAGGGCATAATGACGACTTAATGCACCCAACAGTAGACGTCAATAAATTGAAAAAAATTAAAAAACAATGTATAGTTCAGAATTGTAATAGTACTTACCCTCCTGACCTACTTTTTAAAGTTCCTGAAGGAAAAAAAGCCGATTGGTCTAAAATATTGTATATCAGTGTACAATCCAGTGGTATGCAGTATATATGCTCAAAGCATTTCAAGGCTGATATGGTAAACAGAAGAAGACTTAAAAGTAATGCAATGCCCTGCTTACATCTTTCATCACAGTTAGATATAACTTCTGCAGGAGTCAGCGTTGAGTGTGAAACTGAAAACACCGACGTAAATTGCAAAAATTGTGAAAAATTCTGTCGGTCCCAAAGTTTCTATAAGTTGAAATGTTTCAAGTTGCAGCAAGAGTTGGACAATCTACAGACGAAATTCACTGAAGAAAAAAAAAGGATGGAACAAGAAAAGGCAAATCTGGAGGAGGAAATAAAATTATGGAAATCACGTTCGAATGGCAATTTCAACAATTATATTGAGATATCGGTTGCTGACAGTAAAGAGTCTTAATTACTTAATTTATAAAATTTGGAAATCAGTTCAAGAATTTTTACAAGGTATGTTTATTGCTGTTTATATAATATTATATAATAACTTAAGCTAATAAAATTAATAATGTTTTTTATTTCTTTAATTCATGGAAGGAAATAGCTCACATAAATTCAATTGTGAATACATTTATTTATTTCTATAAATAAATTAATAAATATTACTTTAAAAATATTTTAAGAACCTGCATTTGAGCTACGATTAAGTATTGTTAATGTTGGTTGTGTTATAATATGTTATAATACGAGCACTTTTAAAATCAGTTGTTTAACAGTCCTTAAGTATGACCAAAAAACTTTCACGATTTAAAAGACATCACATATTTAGCTATAAATGTAGAGCGATTGGTTATTTTATATTTTTATTAATTTACAATAATTAAAAAATAAAAATATTGTATAAGAACTTATAAAAATTTCGTTTGAATCAAATATTTTGTATATTTCATGAAATAAAATAAAATTTAAAATATTTATATTGTATGAAATGCCCAATTTATTTCTGGTAATTTTACTAAAAAAATGTAAAAAGTTGAAAAACACACTAAATAATTCATTATTAAATTGCGTGCTAAAATGCTTAGTTCAATCTATCAATCTATTTTATTTGATTAAATAAATTAATAATTATAAGAACTGAACATGTATAGAATTATATATATAACAATACATATAAAATATAATTAATTATTAAACAAAATGGTATTTATTGACACATATCATATCATTGCTACTATAGGGCATAATACTGTCTTCACTGCCAAACATGTTAATAACATTTACACCAAAGAAGATATTCTCTGATTTACACTAACTATAACTATGGTTGCGCTACTTCCAGTGCTTACTGACTTCATAATAAGTAAAACTCATAATTTTGTATGAGGGGTACAAAATTTCATTAAAAATTAAATTTATAATAATTTGATAGAACTTATGCCAATCATATAATTATCAATTATCTTTTCCATAAAATTTATATTTAATTGCTTATATCTCCGACATATTTAATTTGATTTAAAAACTGTCTTCCCAAAAGTTGCACATCTATGGTATTAAAAATAAACAATTCACTCATACAAAGTTTTTATGTATTTCTAATAATTATTGAATAAAAAAAACGTAAGCTGATATATTATGATGTAATACGATATATGAAAGAAAGAGATTAGGTTTTCCGGAAAACCTAATAATTTTATTAATTTCATTTTGAAAACACTTTTAGAATTAACTCTTAATTACGTCATGAAAAGGATATCGCATTTAAACTCCGGTAAAGTCCAATTTAAATTGGCTTCTTATTTAATTCAAAAGATTTTAAAATATTTAAATTATTTTTTGTAAATTTAAAATATTTTTAAGAAGATTTGAACTTTAAAGTCGTAACATTCCTGCCGCCTTAATGTTTTTTTTAAATGTATAAAATTAAAAAATTTTTAATCTGCACGATAATTATTTTAAAGTTACTTTTGAATATATGATTTTTTATAGGACGTAATTTCTTTATAATTTGTATTGCTGCTTAATTATAATTAAAATGATTTCAGGTAAAAAACTGCAATGTACGCCTTTCATCTATATGAGTTCTGCTCAAATGGCAAAAATCCGACTATTTGACCGTAAGCTCATCTGCAATTGCATCAGCAGAAACGCAAGCATTACGAGAAACACTCTTAAATTTCATAGTCTACGCTAAAGCCCCGATTACTCGCATTTACCTATCATCTCATTCCATTCATCCGCAGTTACACAGCCCGGCTACATGACTTGTCTCCTGGCGTTCTATAACCTAACACCATACCATCGACTAAGTATCTACCTTGGAGTATAAACCTCTCCAACACCTTTTATAATACTTCGATAAATTGCATTGAGCTGCTCCCATTATCTCTCTTTATAATTGCGTCTATGAATATACATAGTAAAATATTATGTAGTTTCTATACATATTTATATATATATTAAATAAATCTTATATATATAAATTGATTATATATATTTATATATATTAGTTCGAAATATATTTTATATGCATCAGATAGAATGGAAGAATGATGCCTTTTTTGGTGAAATATAAGCGTATCATGATGGCTTTATGCGTTGGTCCCTTATCATACAATAAGAACCAAACGCTTGGCTTGCATTATATCGGTGACACTTATTAAAGTCATTTTCGTTTCCATTGAAGTGTGCGACACGAAGAGTGCACAGACCTTTCTTTTCATCAATTTTTTTTTCAAAATTGAATAGACTGTATCTTGCAGTATTTTAGTTACCTCTTCGATGATTCTCGCAACGGTTGCTGTGGAGAATTTTTTCACTTTTTTCACGTTTTGTTCATTGCGAGAGACACGCACTCGTTCCCTCACATATTTATTAGCAATTCATATATATATTTGATCCACTTTTAACCAATTAAAACTCTATGACTTCATATTCGATTCATTATATTATCTTGAATTTTTTATCGACTGATATTAAATAAAATGTCAAGCGAAACATGGAAAGAGTCTCTTCGGATTTAAGACAGGATGTATACATGTATTATAATAGATGTGCTCAAAATTGTTTTTAATTTATTACAATAGTACCACTCTACCTACTAAGCTAGCAGTGCTCTATTTTGAAGATATATTAATTAGGTTTAAGTTGGGCAGGTGGCACCGTACATAATAGTCAGCTTATTTCTAGAAAAAAAATTTGATCCTAACACATTTTTGTTTTATTTAAACTGAAATATGGAACTTGTGTATCTTAAAAATGCATTAAATATTAATTTAATTTTTATTATCCATATGAAAGTATTTAAATAACGGAAGATTATTGTATTATACCCATTCCATTCCAATTATATATAATTTTTATACGATGATATATACATTTTTTTGAAGTTCTACTATAAAAATTGGAAATAATTATTATACATAAATTAGAATTTTATAAATTAATCCGTTAATAATACAAGGACCTTAATTATTTATTATATTGCACTAGTTAACATGGTGTGTATTTGGAAAATATTAATTAGGCATTTTTGAACGCGATTTCCGTGTTATTTGATTTTTATTTAAGTTATTAGAGAAATATTATTTGTCCATAATACCAATTTTATTTATTGTACTTACATGTGTTTAATATAGTACTTCAGAAGCAGTTCTATAAATAGAAAGTACGTATTGAGATACTATACCAAAATTTTTAAATAAAAATATAGAAATAAAAGTAATTAGGGTACTGGACTGGACTGGACTTCCAATGGAACATTACTTTTCATACAAGTAACTTAATTTTATATACCAAATAATCTTTTAACAAATTGAAAATTAACTAAATTAAATATTTAATAAAGAGCAAATTCATTTATTTCTCTATGTTTAGACACAACAGAATAGAGTTTGATTGAAGGATTTAATGGAATTTCCAATAACTGCTCTGTTTAACCACAGAAAATTTATATCTAAGCTATGTTTTACGAAATGAAGATTTGTACAACGAGAAATTAATTGGTTTACCACTACTACTATATGAAATATATATATGTGTGTGGGGTTTGCAATGCTGTCAACTAAGAAGCAGTAGAAATAATGACTTCGACGAAGCAATTTGAACAAATGTGATTCTTATATGTTAATTAAATTATATATTGTGTTAAATAAATCACGCCCACATAAAATTTGGTGTCAAAAGTCGGATTCGAGCCCACTCTCACCTACGTGGAGATTTAAAATTGAAACCCAGATTCTTAGGCCCGTATAAAATCATGAAGACTGATTCTAACAATGCTTTCGACGTAGTAAAATTAAGGCAAGATGGATCTTTACACACAAGCATACATATGTGCCGAATTAGTTAAACCATGGTCTAGATCAAAAAACATTAGCGATGAAGAAACATTCGAGACGAATGTATAGTCAATACGGCCGTGTGTAGGGTTGGCAATGCTTTCAACTAAGAAGCTGAAGAAAAGCAGCACATTCTATAAACAAATAAATAGGTAGAAAATATGATACTACTTTCATTTGTGATTCGTGCTGTTACAACATCACTCATGCTGCTCCAGCTCATCATTTGCTTAAACGCAACTATGAATGTTCAAGATTAGGTGAGACTGAAGTGGCGGCCTTGTATCCAAGGAAGTCCACTTGAGCAGAAATAATGACCCGTTGTGGTATCACAGGATAGGCATTTGTTCATACATACTCTAAATGCCTCTTACAGGACAGGCATTTGTTCATACATAGACTAAATGTCTGCATGCGACAAATCGCCGAAAAAGACGTCCAAAGCTATTTACAAAATTTGGATATGATTTTGAAAGTTCGAAATTCAACTTATAAGTTATCTTATATTAAATTAAGTCATAAATTATTTTGAAATTTTAACTTTTTTGGTTAACTCTCTAAGCACATTTACATTTAACATACTTGTATGATTTATTTTTCATTTAGAGGAATGTCACGGTCTCAAAATCTCTTTAATTGAATATATGTGTTCTTTTATATATAGTATGCATATTAATGACGAACCGTTGTTGGAGATTAAACGGCGATCAAACGGTCAAATTTTAAAATTTTAGTGGCCATTCATTTGTGTGGCGTTGGGCTTCTTTATGCACAGTATGTCAAGTATCAGTTTACACATTCAAAAGTTTTAAGTTTTCTTTAAGTACATATGTTCTTTATTTGAAATATTTATTAATAACTATATTAAAAATAAAAACATTTACCGTAATTGGCGCCTTACGTTAATTCTTGTCTGAGATGTTCATACTTAATTAATTATTGTTTTTTAATATTTTCACTTCACTAGAGAAAATATCATTATTTTAAAATGCTAGATGAAACGTTATCGCTTGGAGTGGTTGTGTTCATGTATAATAGCCTTCATTTACAGAAAAAATATGCCGAAACTATCAGAAATATTTTATTAATATGTAGGACTAATTATAATATTTTAAATCTAGCTGAATGGAAGAGATTAAAACCAAAGTATAAAAAAGCCCACATGTACAGCATAAGCAGAATATGTTATCATAACGAAAATATGAAAAACCAGGAAATTTTGTTCAGGATCTCTACTAGGGAACTCCGGGAAGTATATATTGTAAAGTATTACAAGTATACTTATCCACAAGTATATTCTTTTCACAAATTCCTAAATAATGAGATGATGTCATAATCTCTTAGGAGGCATAAATTGTACTGTGCTATAATGACGGACCTACAAGAGCGTGGTTTAAGGCGTTTATATTGTTATTAAACATAATATTATTTTTCCTGTTAAATTTTAAAAATTATATGTTACAATTTGAGGCAGAAGAATTACAAACAGAAGAGTTAAAAGGATATCCAATAATATTAGAGTAGTTTTACAGTATCATTTGTATCAGTGAGAATAATAAGAACTGCGAAAGTATTTGGGCTATTAAAAGCAAAAGCCACATTTTAAATTTTATTACCATAGTAACTCAAAGCACAAAGCAAATATGGTTAGGACGTGGGTTGTTCGAAACTCCAGAAAAGTAATAGATATTCTTACCCAATTTTCTAAATTAAATCTTTTCAAAAATAATATGGTTAACTCTTAAAAAAAAGTGGTTCAAAAGCAACGAAATCCCCAGAGATCGCTTAAAACTATCATACTGGAGAAGTGAAATTTGATACTAAGCAATAATGACATCAAAAATTGTTTAATTTCTTTAAAAAAAGGCGGCAATATATCAAAGGTACTAGAAAGTACCATAATGAATATATAAAATATCATATGACAATACTTTCATTGAATGTTTATATTAAACATTTTTATATTATTAATGGAAACAGTTACTGGGCAGTCACAGAATGATGTGTATTTATTTTTATTATATATTTCGTTTTTTTTTCCAAAGAAACTACTGAACATTTTTTATGTTTATATTCTCCATATAATAATTATTAAAAATTGATCATAAAAAATCTTCATATTTAAAGCAATAGCAGTATTTTTGCGATTATAAGTTAAAGAATTGAATTTTATTTCAATGTGTAAACTCATTCTTGACATTGTGTAAGTTATCTGTGGTTTAACTTTGCAAAATGTGATTTTCTGAAATTCTGATGCAGATTCAAATATCGTATAGAATTTTCAATTTTTTTACTGATGAATACCAAATGTAGAATTTTGTTTTATTTTAAATTATTTATTAAGTTAAGTCTTCTTTAATTTCAAAGTTGCACATTAGTTGCAAATATTATTTGTATATTTAATTTTATACGAAATATTATTTAAATAATATATGTTTGCTAATAAATATACAGTTTAAATATAAGTATTCTAATTAAAATAAGAATAACAAAAATCAAATAACAATTTTCGAATTGTATTCAAACAAATTATCTTTGTTATAACTTTTCTTTTTCTTACAGAGGTAGAATATTTTAAACTACTTTGGTTCAATAAAATGTATTTTAGTAGCATATTAATACGCCGCGTAAAATAAATAAAATTTAAATGTTGTACAATTTGTTCTACTTAAACAATATAGGACAGATTCAAAGAAATTTACAATATTTTAATAATTTAAAAATAAATACATACATCTACTTTACAATTATTATAAACTCCGTCGACAACCTTTATACACAATCAAAATTTGTAAGCGAAATGAATTAACTTTAACTTCACAAACCTTAAAAATAAGTAACTAAGATCCTTTAATAAATTAATAGAATTGTCCTAATAGATTTGGTATAGTACAGCTGTTGCTGCCTATTTTAAGCTAATATTTCCTCTCCTACATATTTGGGAGGTATTGAATTTTTTAAACCATTATGAATCTGCGAGCGCGTTGATACTTCTTCTTCTTTAAAAAATATTCAATCAACTTGAAGTAAACTTTGAGCTTTTTTTTTGATCATCAATGGTTATAGTGTCAGAACAAATGCCATTTTCGGTCGGCAGATCACTGTTGGGAACATTTATTGAAGGTGGTGGTGTGGCCCCTTTAGCATTGGCCAAAACCTGCCGCTGTTCATAAATCTCGTTCACAAGCTTCTTGACAAATGGATGATTAAACTTGCCTTCGGTGGAATCAAAAAATTCTTGATGCTTCAATAAGCAATTATCACGTTTTTCATACTCAAATGCTTGCATCACCATATCAAGTCGATCAAGATCTTTAACAAATTTAGACTCTGGACTCTCACCTTGTTCGTATTCCTAGAAAAGTAAAAAAGCAAAAATTATAATTAAAACAATCGATATTTCAAAATAATTATATAATAACAGCAATTCAAATATATATAATTTAAAAATAAGAATTAAATAGCAGAAGAATTCTAGATGTTAGCTTCACTTCACAAACCGTGCTTTAGCTAAGCAGTATGGCAATATTTTTACCACACACGGATATTAAATTCTATGTTTTAGAAACAACTTAAAGAACATTATTTTTGAAAGATCCAGATTAAGATCTTCCGAAGTTGTCTTCAATCATGACAAAAAGCTGAACATTTACAAAGAAAGTATTGAGTTTTTTCTTCTTCCCCTTTTCAGTAGACAGCGCAAGAATAACGGCTCTAATAAGAGAGAACTACAACCTATTGCTTCGTAGATTGTTTTCTGATATCAATCTAATTGAATCTTTGATAGCGAAGACTTCGGTTGAAGACACTGGACGAGTTCATAAGGTGAAAGAACCTACTTATGTTACCTCTGAATCATTCATGACGATATAATAACTGCATTTACGTAGTAATTCTTTTTCTTATCCTTGTCTCTGATAGAAAGACCAGTACTACATGAACATTTAAATTTTTTAAATCAGTTTCGATTATAAATATGATATTTACTGTCTTTTTACAAACTTTAAATCATTTTTTGTGTCTATAAATCAGGGATAAATCCTGTACAAGCTTTGTATATACCAAAAAAAAACTCTTTCTATTTCCGAACTATGAAAAGAAAAGCTTTTTTGTAATACAAAAAAATACTTTTAAAGTTCGATATCTTAATTCAAATGATTTGATTCCAGTGTTATTAAAGTAAAAACTATATAAAACTTATACAGAATATATATTATATATATATGACAAAACTTGAAGAGGGATTATTTAATATTTTTAAGGAGTTATTGTTCAATGACGACTTCCGAAAAAACTGAGTAGTAGTATATACTCATGTAAAACTTTTAGTTATCAATATATATAAAACCATACCATAGTTTAGTTTTGAATTATGGTTGAGAGATGTAGGCTTTCCAAATAACAAAAACCGACTAACATTTAAATACGCGATCACTACAAAAATGCACTCACATATTATATTTTTTTGCCCTCTTTTTTTTTGGAGTAGAGCATTCATTTGATATGAATTATCAGCGCGAATTATGAATTATATTATTTGATTTTTATAACGTTGCTAATTAAATAGATTAGTATTCTAACGTATTAATCTAAAATATTTGAGTAATCTATTTAATAATATTGTGGCCCTTTGAAATCAAAAATATCTCACTACATCTGTTGAAATTTCACAGTTTCTCGGAATGTGAAAAATATGGAGCATGCTTTATGACTATTACGACTAATAAAATACTAATAGATATCCCAACGATTGCAATTGTAATCTTGTTGATTAAGACTAGAACAAAAAAATGCCAATTAGCAAGCTTTATATATAATTAGCATTCATCAGAGTCTGAATTTAATAATGTTCTATTGCTTTATATACAACTGTTGATTAAAATTAGGACTTACATTTATAACACAAAATATTATCATTGAGATTATTCGTTTTTCCTATATATCAAAAGGACTAAAAAAATGTTTGGCCTGACATAAAAACATATCACATATTTTCGTCATCAACTGCAGTACAATTATTCCAACGCATTTCTTAAGTTTCCACATATTAATAATGGATCATATTCTTTAGACTTTCAGTTTTCTGTTTCTGTGATCAATTCGATATAAATTTAGCCATTTGTGCAATTTAGCCATTTGTGCAATTTAGCCATTTATCGTATCATACGTTCTATTTGGGACCGACCTCTTTTTAGGATTTCATTCTTCGCTTTAAAGCCCAGTGTATAAAGCCCATCAGCATTTCTTACAAACTCAGAAGATGTCTTGGGTCTTCACCCCCGCAACAGAAAGCCGTGGATGTCAGAGTCTACCTGGTCTCTCATCGAATGCCGCAGAGCTGCAAAGATCACACGCGACAATGCTAAAACAAGAGCGCTCAAAGCAGAAACCCAATTCACCTACAATGAAATGGTGAAACGAGTAAAGCTTTCATGCAAGCGAGACAAACGTTTATGGTATGACAATCTTGCAAGTAAAGCTGAAGCAGCAGCCGAACAGAGAAATATGAAAATTTTATATGACATCACAAAAGAGCTTGCAGGCAGAAGATGGCCGACTTCTCACATCCACCGAAAACCAGCTTCAACGTTTCAGGGAACATTTTTCAGAAACTCTTTGTAACAATACTACCACTATCACCAACACTGTCACACCGGCTGAACAAAGCAGCTTCTCCAGCCTAAACAGTTGCAGTACATCTGTTATGAATAGAGTACCTGATGAAGAAGAAATTGTTCAAGCTATAGGCAGTTTAAAGAACAATAAAGCAGCTGGTCCAGATAATATCACAGCGGAACTGTTAAAAGCTTGCCCTTCGACTACCGCTAAAATGTTTCAACCTCTCCTGAGAAGCATATGGGAAAATTGGCTGGAAGGCTTGCTGACCGTATTACCTAAGAAAGGTGACCTGAGCCAATGCCGGAATTACAGAGGCATTATGTTGCTGTCGATTCCTTCGAAAATATTAACTCGTATTCCAAATGTCCAATATCTACAAGTTCTTTTGATCTTTCAAATAAATTTTGTCAAGTTTTTATGTGTTCCAGTCAAAACCTTCGGTTGTAAGAATTAAATACCTGACATTGTCAAAGTTAAGACGAACTAGTTTAAATTCAGTATAGTGATTGAGTGTCGCTGTCTTTTTTTTGCATCAGCGTTATTTTTTTCTGTCAAAAAACAATGTAAAATCGACCCATTGTTGTGAAAATAACAAAATTGTTTTATAAACACAACTGTAAGTTGTGAAGTTACGTTCAAAATCTCATCTCACCATTTGAATTACATACATATATTAATATGTATATATGTCAGACCAAATGTTTTCAACCCATATGTCTATAATTTATATTCACATTGAAAATAAATTAGAAGCAAAATAAAGAAGTATCTTTAAAATTATAAACTCAAAAAATGTATTAATTTGTATACCTCAAATAATTCCATTATACGTTTGCCTCTTGGTTCAATTAATTTGCATATATCAGCCATAGCCTTAAATTCCAAAGCGCGTTTTTCCTCCTTGGATACGCCACAAAAAGGTGTTATGTCACCCACCAAACTTTCAGCTAAATCATGCACTAAAGCCAATTCCATGCAACGTATCTGATTAAGACCCTCACTGCCGTCAAGTAGGAAAGTCATCATGCTCATACGATACATGTGCCCTGATATGGATTCGCAATCATTGACGTCACGTAACACCCAGCCGGTACGTTTTGTGTGCTTTTTATAAAAAGAAACAAGAAAAAAAAATAGAATCATGAAATGTATTTGAAAATTTTGTTTAGTTTAGAAATAGTAAAATACAATTAAAATCCAACAAAAAATATAATTAAAAAATATTCATTTTTATATATCAATTGTTTCGTAATTGCTTTTTCTAAAAGTTTAAATTGATTTAAGTACATGTTATCTAAAAATATTACTATTGTTTTATATGTATAAGTAAATTAGTGGCTTTTATTCATTGTTTGCATATACTACCGCAGCGAAATTGCAATAGAAATCACCAAAGCGAATATACTATATATTCCAAAACTAGTCATGGAAACAGGAATATTCAAAATAATTTTTAGTAAAATAAATACGAAACATGTTATCTTTCGCTTCACCGAAGTTTTAACACCCTTCACGAAGAAAAAAACAATTATGAATTACTGGACTTCAGTTTTGAACTATGTTTCCAAGGCAACAATATGAGGGGTGTACCCGTATTCGTCTTAAACTCAACTAGTCTGATAATATCTTTCTCAGAATTCAATTCGTTTAGTATCATCAATACTCACAACAAATTTTCTGCCAAAGTAGGAGTAGCGCAAACTGACTCAGTGCCATGTGCTCTAAAGAGGTTCTATGAGCACCTATGAAGATTGTAGGTTGAACGGTAGGATAACATACCGGTTTGAACACTTGAACAGAATAGAGCTCAAATCGTTTACCAATTCTACTCAAAACAAATTTTCTATCAAAGTATGAAAAGTAGAGCGCAGACTGACTCAATATAATGTGCTCTAAAGAGTTGCTATGAGCACCTATGAAGATTGTAGGACCTTTATAAGGAGGTACTACAAATTGAACGGTAAGATGACATACCGGTTGGGACACTTGAAACTAATGCTTATCATCACTTCTTTCTATTTTAACTTATGGACAAGTTATGGATAATTTAAAAATGGCTTAGAATGATATGACCGTAAAGTGGTCCCTGACTTAGGTGCACCAAAGAAAAACTTGACACACACTCTTCCGCTAGCAAGGTTGTAACGTTTGTTAATAGAACATGGATTTTCACTTTAGGTTCTCTTTTTTCTAATAGTTCTCTACGGATCCAAGAGTGGTTGCCACTAAAGAAGAAAAACTTAACATATGACTTTGCATTACCAAGTACCGAAAGCTTTGTTAGTATAAATACAACTAAGACATACACCTCATGAATGAAACCCAAACTATTGACCACAGTTAAAAGAAAACACCCCAGGTAAAGCAAAACCCATTTCTAAGAACCCCTAAGCAATCTGAGTGCATTCAAGACACGGACTCATGCTGAGACAAGTTAATCAGACAACTGCTTCTTAACGAGCCTCCTAATAAGCCGTTTTTTTAAATATTTTAATAAAACATAAACCTATTTTACATGTATTATTGATATAATTTAATGTTTTAGTTATTATTTTATTAAAAGTGAAAAAAATATTTGATCAATATAGAAAATTATAATTTTTATCGTTTTACCCATAAAACAGCCCTTTTCGTATTTCATAAGTAGTGACACGTGGGTAAAATTACCGATAAATTTTTATTATTACAAGTGACATTCGAGTACTATTTTTAGATAGTTTGTGACTACAATTCATGGCAACTAGTTTCAAAAGATATTTTGGAAAAGGGTAAGGCCATAATAAATATTAAGTAATTTTAGCTACAGTTCGCAACTGTTACCGTTTGTATTTTGTAAGAAAAATATTGCTGACCTTGTTATTTTTGTTGTAATTAAGTTTATATTTTTATATACAATATAATACATATGCAAATTAATACTCATAAAACAAATAAACGACTCTCTGTTATTTTCAATGCAGTATTTTATGCAACTAGGTAGAACATGCTAACGAATCTATTAAAATAAAATCTAAATTCGGTATGAATTTCCAAGCAAATTTTACATAGGTAAAAAAAAAATAAAAATAAAAAAATTATAATATGTGGATTTTCGCACAACGCCCAAGAAGTCTATTGTGTCTTCCTTCATGGATTCAGAAGAGCATTTCTTTGAGTCTAATTTTCTCAATAAATTGTAGTATCATACCTATTTTACCGCGTCTTATCTCTTAATAAGATATTAGTGCCGACTTAAATATTTCTTTCAAGTAACAGCTGAGCAAGCCTGCAGTACGTCTTTTCAGGTCTCATTTTCTACCCAATTAGATTTTCTGTAATTATATTTAAGTTATTTTTACTAATTCCACGCAATCTTCAAATTGATTTAGATTAAGAGTTCCTGTAAGTAATTTTATTTGTATAACCCCGGTAGATTTTTTCAATATACCCTCCTCATTTGTTCTCTTTATATCACAAAATGGTATTTTTAAGTTATTTTGTAGTCAGAAATTTCAACGTGACTACGAACTCAAAGGATTAATACCTAACTAGTCTGACTAAGCATATTTAACTTACCAAAACACCTCATCATGAATCTGCACGTCACCTGATGAGAATGGTCTGCTTTGATTGCATGATACAAAACTATCAGTTAGGACGGTTACTCTATGGTTCTGATAGTTACTTCAAGGTGGAAATAAATACATCCGTCTACGATATCAATTTCTGATTAGCCGATAATTGTGTTTTTCCCTAACACTTCCAAGTATTTTATCCCCGGTTCATAAACAGTTGTTCCGGATTTCTCTTCAATAAGAATACCGTTCATATGTTGTACTGATATTTTCTTGTTTATCTTGTAGACATGCCATACCAATTCTTTTCATCACTAACAGAAGTTTTGAATCGTTTGAAAAAAACTAAAGTTTAAGAACATAGTATTGTATAGTATTGAAATTTCGGAAAGTGAATATTCTTTCGATCACGGCAATCGTAGAACTGATTTCGATTAGGTTAGTTTTAGTATATACAACACACTAAGGTAAGTGTGGTAGGAAACTAGTTATTCAATATTTCAGTAATGAATAAAACAATAAATATACATTTGTTGTGTCCATATTAGCATCACGTTAATAGGAAAAAAAAAAGAGTTCGTTTTTCTACATCTTTAAGTATACATGTAAATACACAATATCCAAAGGACATCCTATATTTTTTCTATATTATATACATTATAACACTTACTGTTAAACTTAATAAATTTATTTTAAGATTTGTATATATAATGTATATATGTGACAAAACTCGTTCATCTCATTAGCCGGCGAAAGGCATTACAAGTATCGATGTTCCTTTTAGTAGGTATTAAACCAAGAGAAAGTGAGAACAATTTGAAAATTGAATGTTATATTTTTTTTACTTTTTTGATATGTTCGTAACGGCTATGTTATATGTGACATTAGAGGAAATAACGTACAATAATGACCAGTACTACTTAACCGAATTCCACCTGTTATTGCGATTGCCGGTTTAACCGAACGTAGTAATGAGTTTTAGATCGTTAAATTTAGGAATAATTGAAAGAACTGAAAACTAAATTACTTTGAAAATTTTATAGATTTGCCGTTAAAAATAATTAACGTAAACTGAGTAAAAATTAAAGGTTTATTAAAAACAAGAAAAAATAATTAAGTAAAAATATTTATGTGTATAATTAAAATGAATGGAATATTATAACGACTTAACACCTAATTGATCACATGCTAATCGAAAACAAAATTATTTACTTTATTAGAATAATAAATAAAAATCAAATTCTTGCGTGCTCAGAAAATATACGTATGTTGTATTTGCTCTTATCTTCCGAACTTTGAAGGCATTTTATCTTTGTTTATTAAGTCTCTATAAACTCTTACAATAGGTCGACTCAGCTACATGTATGTAGCGCCCATTCTGTAAGTAGTAAGTAGCTAATCTCGACTGGAAATTCAACTACAAATTATATTTTTTTCTTTGAAGCACTAAAAAATGATTAAACATAAATTATCTACACTTATTCCACAACAAAAATTAAGACATCAAAAGTAATTTGAAGTGAAAAGTTAGAAATAAACAAAATATTAAAAAAAAACTGTCTTCACTTAGTGATAAATGGTTTATTTACAGAAGTAATTTTTAATACTTTTTTGAACATCTTTCATTACTTATAAGCTACTTGCTTCATAATCTATCTATAAATACTAAGTAAATACAGTTTTTTCAAATAAATTTTAACCAGAATTTTAGTGCTTTTTATATAGAAGCTCAAAAATTGAAGAAAAGAAATATTAAAAAAAAATAAGAAAAAAATTAAAAGCAAAATTATAAAAGAAAAGCATGAGAAAAAAATTGAATATATCTATAATAATAAATTAAAGAAATAAAAAAATATATAATAATAATATAACAAAAAAATAATATAAAATTGTAAAAACAAATATTAAAAAAAAAATATATACATAAACATATATAAACTAAAAAATATATTATATATAAAAATTGTAGAAATTATATATATATATAATAATTGGAAAAATTATATATATATATATATAAATGAAAAATTAAATATAAAATCTAGAAAAAAATATATAAAAATTTTTTTATAAAAATTATGAATATAAAAATTATGAATATAAAATCATAAAAAAAAATAAAAAATTATTATGTAAATTAAAAAAAATATATACATATATAAATACAACAAAAATATGTTATTAAAAAAAAATATATACATATATAAATAAAACAAAAATATGTTATTAAAATAAAAATATATATATATAAATAACATAAAAATATGCTATTAAAAAAAACATATACATATATAAATAAAAGAAAAATATGATATTAAAAAAAATTAAAAAATAAAAAAAATAAAAAATTAAAAAAAAAATTAAATAATAATAAAAAAAAATATATAAAAAAAATAAAAAAAATATATATAAAAAAATATATATAAAAAAATATATAAAAAAAATAAAAAAAACATATATAAAAAAATATAAAAAAATAAAAAAAATATAAAAAAATAAAAAAAATATAAAAAAATAAAAAAAATATAAAAAAATAAAAAAAATAAAAAA